GTATATAAGTCTAAATGCTATTGCTATTGTTACATTATGATATTAACATTCCTACAATCTTATTATTCTTGTGGGTCTTTGGGAAAAGGGGGGGTTGTGTCTTTTGCAATTTCTGTTATCCTCTGATGTATGGAAATGTCATCAGTTCTGCTTTAAACATTAGAAATTGCCAGAAAAAAATTAAAATTGCTTGCTTAATATCTTGTTTAGTACATCTCTGCCTCCAATTAAGTTTCTTATCAGATTTCTCTGGAAATATTTCTGTATTACCTTCTGTGAGTGAACATGAGTTTGAGAAGGGCCTGTTAATTCAAGAATAGATGCAATTAGCAAACAAGGTGAATTGGTGCAGATACCCTCTTGGCTACAGCTGCCACATGCTCTTCAATTATGAGTTGTGTACAAAGGGCTCCAAATTGCACAACGTTTTTGTTTGGACAAGTGCCAGCCTATCCAGAACTAAGTTTGGAAAATCAGCAAATTACTTCATCCAATGGTTTCATGTGAATGTTAAATACTGTAGAAGTGGCAAGAGCATCAACCCTGAGTAACTCTGCATTTCAGGAGATTTTGATGCTTCATTATTATTTACTAAGTTATTGTAAGTGTTTCTATGTTGCTTTGATGAAACAAATTTAGGTAGCTTACAAACATCATAAAGTAAGAAATTGTATTATGCATGTAACATTAAAAATAATAATTACAATTATAATAGCATTAACAGTGCTTACGTATTTCCTAGGTAAATGATCTTCCAATAGTAGAAGAAAGAAGACAATTCAAGGTTGAACTGTAGAGTCCTTGGTGTTCTCTGAGCTTGGTTGTTTGCATATAGATGTTTCACTGTCCAAGTAGTAATATCATTGATCTGATTCTGGGGTCTCCCACTGTTTTGTTTGCAATAACAAATTTGGTAGGGGTGTACCTTCCTCCTCTGTGGTTTCTTAACATGGTTAGGGTTCAGCTTACATGTGTTCAGGGTATGAAGGTATTTGTTATCTACCAGGAGTCAACAGATCTGCACATTATCATATGTAATAGAATATTATTATCATATGTAATAGAATATTATATCAAATATGTAATTGTTACAAACTAAATTTGTTACCTCCATATCTACAATTCATACTACTTAAATCTAGTCACCTTTGGACTGAATCATGGCTGCTTGGCATATCAATAATAAACAACTTTTTCATATATAAATATATATATATATATGAAAAAGATATATGTGTGTGTGTGTGTGTGTGTGTGCATGCGCGCGTGCTTGCTTGCACTGGCACGAAGCTGAAAGCACCAGCCTGAGGATGGCGAGTGGGACCTCGCCAAAACATCACCAGGATACTCTTAATCTTACACGGGAAAAGACCCGAACACACCTAGACCTACATACCTGTACCCATGAAAATCTACGAAAACAAATATATGTGTGTGTGTGTGTGTGTGTTTTAAGTTTTCGTGGGTACTTACATGTGTTCAGCTTTGTTCGGGTATTTTCCCACGTCATTATAGTTGTGCTTTTAAAGTTGTAGCAACGTTTTGGCAGAATCTCATCTGCCATCATCAGGCTTCTGTATTGTGTTCGTCTGTGAGTCAGACTTTTCTGTTTTAAATTTGGGGCTAGCTTACTGCTGTGCCAGAATGGATTTTTCTTCATCCTGATTGGTTGGGAGTCTTGGTCTTGGAGTTTGCTGTGTTCTGCTTGATTGGTGTTTCTAATATCTTCTGTCTGTTTTGTGGCTTTTTTTGTCTTGATTGGCTGGCGACATTGTGTTCCTGTATTGGAGGCTTTTAGTGCAGCTTGGCTCTTGAGTAAATGGATGGCTATCATTTATTAGAAAGCTAGATTTCATCCCAACCAGGCACCCAGATGAAATATGTATGTATGTTGTGGCCCCGATTCTTGAGCTTATGCTGTCAGAGGAAGACCTGGAAGATGAGGAGAGGGAACTGGGAATGCCTTCCTCCCTGATAATGCCTCAGGTTTCATCAGACAACCGAGAGGAACAGCCTGAGATTAATCAGGAGGAAGGCATATTGGAGCAGCCCCTGACAGGGAGTAAAGAGGAAGGCTGTTGGCTTGATACTAAGCAATGTCGTAGGGAGAAATGTGAGCAGCAACATAGGAGGCGTGGGAGGGTCAGAGAGTGAGCTGAGTCATTGAACCACACCCCACAGGGGATAAAAGTGGGTGTGTTTTCGGCTGGAACTTCAGATTTCCTTCGTGAATGATTTTTGTGGTCTGCCTTGTAATTTTCTGTGAGTAGATTTTTATTTGTTATCAGTTCGGACTTGGCAGGCAGAGGGTGTTGGAATGCCAAGGATATTATCAGTTCCAAAGAATTAACTCTGTGAAGTCCGAGCCAGCTTGCCTGCATGTGTTTGTGTGAATTTGTATTCTTTCATCTTTTGGGAAAGAAGAAAAGTGAGACAGAACATACATACATACATACATACATATATACATACATACATGTTTTCTGAGGTTTTCGCGGGTATTTGTATGTATATCTTTGGTTATTCGGGTTTTTTTCCGCATAAAATTGGAAGTATCTAGGTGACGTTTCGATTAAGTCTCATACATCATCTTCAGGCTTGTCTTCGGCTTTGTGCTTCTCGGAGTAATGTGAGCTTGCAGTTGCTTCTTCCTTTTAACTGCTAGTGGGGGTGTGACTTGATTGGGTGGGGGGGTGTTCTGATTGTTTGGGGGGTTGGCTGTGTTCTGATTGGCCCCCACCTGAACAGAACACACCCCTAGCCAATCGGAACAAAGCCAACCCCCCAACCAATCAGAACACAGCCAAACCCCCAACCAATGAGAACACCCCCAACCAATCAGAACACAGCCAAGCCCTCACCCAATCAAGTCACACCCCCACTAGCAGTTAAAAGGAAGAAGCAGCTGCAAGCTCACATTACTCCGAGAAGCACAAAGCTGAAGACACAAGCCTGAAGATGATGAATGAGACTTCATCGAATCGTTGCTTAGATACTCCCAATTTTACGTGGGAGAAAACCCGAATAACCAAAGACACACACACACACACACACACACACACACACACACACATCCTTTTTGAAAAACTTTGTGAGTAATTTCCAGTTATTTATCATACCAAGATGGATATGATTAATGTTACTCCGCAAGAAGATTTGGTTTTAATGTATAAACTGACGGTGTCAGGAATATTCTACAGTATTTAATGAACATTCTTATTTTTTAAAAGTTCACTTTTGTTTAATAAAGTCTTCTTGAGCTTGACTTAAATAACTTCATGGGCATGTCTATGCTATTTTCCTGGCTACAGTGTGAAAAATAGTTCACCCTTCTAGTCTTCTGGGGCATTTCTGATGGTTTCCCATCTAGTAGCCTTACCTTATTTTCAAAATCTGCAAAATTTAGCAAAGTGCTGCTATCTTAACAGAACTTTTGTGTACTGTATATCTGTCAGGTCTATTCATCAGTTCTCAGCGTAACTTTATATTGTAGAAAAAACAGTAGATGCTTGTACTGTATCACACCAGGTGGCAGCACCTAGTCAATGTTGTCTGATCTTGAGAAGTAAAAGCAGAGAGCTGACTGAAAGAGAGCACATATTACAGAGCAATTATTATTTTTAGAAATTGCTTTCAAAATCGAGTAATGATTTATACTTTTCATTAACATTAGAGCAGATACATACTGTGAAATCACTATGAAGAGAACTAGCTCCTGTTGAAATAATCATGTTTGGAGGCTTTTATTTTTTAAAGAGGTGCTTTAATAGTATACAGGCTTTTAAAAATTGTATTTATATATTCACAGAATAGTTCAGCAACAGGCAAGTTCATTTCTGGACAGTAAAGTAAATGTAACACATTTTAAAAATTAAATTTCTAGTTCAATGAAGTCAAAATATGGAGATTATGCCTGCTACAAAACCATTTTGGTATCGGTAGTCTTGTTTTGGGCTATATAATGTCTCTATGGACAATATTAGAGAAAATGAAATTGTTATCTCCCGGTACCCACTTAACATTTAAGTTACTGTATGTTTATTTGCTTTTGATGTGAGTGTCCCAGTGTCTGTGAAAAGAATGCATCCCCTCACAGTGTTCATGTGAATGAAAATGAGCTTTTGGCAAAAGAACTGATGCCATTTTTGTATTCCAATTATTAGTGAATAATCTCTTATAAAAGATGCTTCCTGTTTTGATCCTTGCCATCTAAAATAAAAAAACGGATAAGAAGGAGACAGCTTAACCAATTATTATGGTTAGAATCAGTGATATTCTAGGAAACGTTTTATTAATATGCTGAGATGGGATTGGCACAGTTGATTTGTTTCCTTTGCCTATGTCTTATTCCCCTATTGCTATTCCTAAGTAACAGAACTAGAATGACCTTTTGATTAAACATATGACTCTTACCCTCAGCTACTTGAAATTATCAGCTTTCTGTAAATGGTTGAAAGTATTTTAATTAACAATGAAAAGTTTTTAGCCCCCTTGGAGCTGCATTCTGTTAGACCTGTATTCTATTCATTCCATTCATGGGAAAACTATTTTGGTTAATGCTGTTGGCTCTGAAAAAGATCTTTCAAACAGCAATCATGCTTCCATAGAGTAAAATGACTGGCATGTATGGTAGTAGTTGTTGCTATTATTAGATTACTGGAGAATGAAGAATTTAGTGGCACTTGACACGGTCAATAAATTTATGATTGCCTATGCTTATCAGATCAACAGTCTACTTTATCAGATGAATATCTGTTGGCATTAAATTGTTCTAACAGAATTAGGCAGAAGGAAGATTATTTATTTTCAAAGGGTGGAAAATCTATTAGATGCCTTGCCCCAGTGGCGTGTCTTCAGGAGTGTTGAATAACAATTTCCATTTCTGCCAGAGAACAAAATAAAGATCGGAGAGAAAAAAGTCTTATTGCTATTTAATTTATCAAACAAGTTGGAAATACTGAACTAACAGCACATTTTTTTAATCGTCATTTCCCTTTAAGGCAAGAAGTTTTAAAGTGGAATGGATGGGGATACAATGACTCAAGATTCATTTTGAATAAGAAGGGGCAGGGAGAATTCACCGGAAAAAGGTAACAATTACGCAGACAGTAAGATAATTTCTTTTCTTTTCAGAAAAAATGACTGCATTGAAGTTATGACATCTTGTAAGAAATGAGTACTAGCATTGAAAGTCAAAAAAATCACATTATGCATTATTATGCATCCATGTTGTATTTTCTGTGACACAAACAACTCTCCCAGTGTGAATAAGCAATAGCAATTCTGTCATATTCTGCTTTTATCAAACATTTCAGCTGCAAGCTGCCATGTACATAATCAGAGACAAATATGTTGATTTGCTGAGGCATATAGGTAATTAACTTTGGAGTAGCCTTTCTTTTGTTAGGAAGTAATTACAGTTAGAGTTTATTTACCGTTGGATTTGTTTGGGCATATGCTGTTTAACTTGCACACATTAATCTAAGCACGTCTTAAAGTTATGTGTTGAGTCCTTGGTGCTCTATGAGCTTAGTTATTTGCTTGCAAATGTTTCATTATCCAACTAACATCATCAGTGCAGATTAAAGTGAGGTTTGCTCCTATTTATATTAACACGGTTGAAATCTGAGTCCACAGTTCAACACTGAGCAACATATATTTGCTATTAAATTCGTCTAAAACCATATTTATCAAATTCTGCAGTAATGCATCATCTAAAAGGACCAAGACAATTATGCATTCTATAAAAATACTTTTTATTTGTGTCTCCTGAATTTTATAGCTATTGTTGTAATTGAGTGAACCAGAAATCTGTTGATTATATTGTTTCTGAATTAAGATTTTAACCCTTATCTACTTGTTACCTTTGTCATCTTCTGTTAGAAAATAGATAATAAAAGTTATTTATACCTTTGGCTGCTCTAAAGACATAAATATTTTTTTAAAGATTCACATGTTTATATTTTCAGGAAATAAAAGTGCCCTTTCTTGTGAATTTATTACCAGCTCATTTAATAATCTGTAGTTTTCTAAAGGAATAAGATATATAAATTTGAATAATTTAAATAAGATATATAAACACCGAAGGATGCCTCCAGTAAGCATGTATTCTAGCTTTGTTTGTAGTATTTTATACTTATTTTAATATTTTATTTCAGTTTCATTCTTAACACTGAGATTACTTCTTGTCAGTTATAACAAGCAAGAATGTGGAAGCTCAAGGGCCTTTTCTACATATACAGGTAGACCTCATTTAGTAACTGCCTTGTTTAGCAACTGTTCACGGTTATGACATTAATGACATTAACTGTGACTTATGCTTGCTTTATGACTTCTGTAAAGCAAAGGAAAGCTGAAGAAAAATCATAAGCGCAGTTGCTGTTTCACTTAGCCAGTTTGCTTAATAACTGAATTGCCATCCCAACTGTGGCCACTAAATGAGGACTACCTGTAACTGATTTTGTCCCAGTAGGTATCACTTTGCATATTTGGACAACAATCTTAGGCACAAGATACATTAGGTAGCAAAATTAATTCTGCTTGCAAGCTCAGTATGGAAATCTCATCTAAATCTCAGCATTCCTCACTACTTTTAGTCTTCAATTTCTTGAATAATTTGTCATTGGGAATCAAATGACTTATTCATATATGATTGATGCCAATACTAAATTTCATTACTGATCCCCTCCATTGCAAAAACTATTAATAATCTACTGCTATGTTTTAATTTGCTGTAATCAGCATGGGGATTTGTCTTATAGCTTGCTTAATGTGCAGTAGAATACTTTATCTGAACTTAAAAATTATGCAGCTGTTATTTCTGTATTTGACCATGACAGAATTCTGAAAAGTTTTTGAGTTGAAGTTCTTATTACAGAAATCATATCAATATTTCTTCGCAAGGTTATTCATGCTTAAAATTTCAGATATTAAATTTGTTATCAGTTTGTTATGACTGATATTTTAAAGTCCCCATCTTCCCAAATACTCAGACTTTTATTTCTAGAAATTATAAGGCCACTGCTTGTGTACATCTTAATAAAGAAATTAGCAGCAGGTTTTTTACTAGTTTTCACTCTGGAAAGAACTGATGAAAATGCTTTTGGATTCAGGTACCAAATAGGCGGACTGATCTTCCCACTTTTGAAAGATTGGATGGAGAAAACTTTTAGTGGAAATCTGGAACATAAAACTACTCCTAAAGTAAGTGAATACATGGGCCGTGTGTGTTTTTTAAATATTACCCTCTAGTTAATTCTTTATATATTGTTCAGTTAAAACATAAAACTGCTTATTTTGTCCATTGCACTTCTGCCACTCTGCCATAAAAAAATTCCCGCCTTATTGCCATCTTGTCAGTGAGGATCTATAGTTGAAAATATAATCTGTTAATTTGAAATTTCTTAAACACAGATTGTTTGCTTTAAAACTTCTGCTTTTGTACATTGATAGATCGCTGATTTTAATTTGTTGCAGTATTTCAAGAAGTCTGTCTTAGAAAACGATTCATTCTTCTGTCTCTGTGAATAAAAGTGTGGTATAAAAAAATACTAAGAACTGTATCACATATACGCTTCTGTTTATTTAGCAATAAACTGGTTCATTATTTCTCTGCACTTACCTAAGGTCTGCTGCAGAGACTTCTCCAAAGGATTTTTGTGTATGATGAGCTGATAAAATGTGTGTGTGGGGGGGGGCGGGGAGTGGGAGTAGTTGATTTGCTAAAAGAGAGGTTGCTGGCAAGAGTGTCGGAATTGCTTTTCTGGTAGCATATTTGAAAATGATACTCTTCTGAGGTAACTCATTTTTTTTTCTGAATAGGTACACTGGAAATTATCTCTCTCTCTTTTATTTTTATTTTGAAGGCATCCTTAAATATCAGTGATGTACCTCCCTCCATTGCAAGTGAAGAATTTCTCCAAGACCTCCAAAATGCTAAAATCTCATATACACAGGAAGCAGAATCTAGACTTTTTAGAGCCCATGGTAAGCAGAATCAGCATGCACAAAATAACATCTTAATTGCTTGCTTTCAACATTTGGTGTCTTTGTGAGACTTATTTTTACGTTGTATTTCAGGACATTGCCTACATGAGATTTTTTTGCTCAGGGAAGGAATGTTTAAGAGGGTTCCTGATGTAGTGGTATGGCCAGGTAAGCTATTCAGAATACTTTTCTCATTCTTGTATTTCCCTGTTCCATTTCCTACTGAACTTATGCTAACAGTACTTTCAATGTTGGAAAAAATGAAATTGAGAAACCATTTACAGAAACCTCAGAATACGAAGTATGTATTAGAGAAGTAGTTCAGAAATGCAGACTAGGAATCTGCCCAGAATGTTGTTTATGTCACATGTTGGTTGAACTGTTATAAAAACACAATCTCTATTTGCACTTGACACTTGATTTTCATTTCTTCCAAAGTAAAGGGAAGACTCAAAATTTAGAATACACAGAGTACCAAACAATAAAAATATAAAATAATAAAATGTTATTTCAGTATACACAAAGCTCCAATTTTTCAGGAAGTCAGATGCAAGTCTTAAAATTACTTGCTTATGACCATTATTTTTAGACAATCAATTCCTACTAAACAAAAAGTTATAATATTTTCTGAAATGCATTAACATTCTTAATGTTTAGAGAGGATTACAGTAATTCAAGATGCTCCTTTTATTTACCAAGCTTCTGAGCATGGCATTTTCAGTTGTTAAACAAAGCTGTCCAGATGCAGAATTGGACAAATTCCATGTGATCATGAGAATGGCACGTGTTATGCCTTTCCTTAAAGAGCATATCATTTTATGGTTATTTTGATTATTGAGTGACATTGCATTATCAGAAATGAGCAAAATTTGTAGCACCTATATCCAAGATTTGTGATTGTTTACTAACACCGTATAAGAACAGATAATCACCTTATCTAAGTATCATGATTATAAAATTAATCCAAGCTCCAATTGCTAGCGCTTAGTATAATAGACAATTATTTTATTTTATTTGTAAAATTTATTGGCTGCCCATTTTACCACAGAGTAACTCTGTGAGGCTTACAATATTACAAGGAAATCACAAGGAAGTTAGTTTTTCTTAGCATTTTATGTAGAATTTAATTTGCATGATTAAATGAATATTTAATCCTGGCATGACTAAAATAACTAAGCCCCATTGAAGCTAATGAAATACTCTGATTTTAAAACAGAGGTTGTATCCATGAAATCAATCGGGTTTCCAGTGCCTGAAAATTTTGCTGACCATTGGGCAGCATGACGCATGGCCATTGCCATTGCCATTCAACACACTTGATCATGTGCAAACTTCTAGTATAGAAATTATTAGGGACTACTGTCAATTGGAATGTATTAATTGGAACTATACTAATTGCCTCAGAAAAGAAGCATTCTGTGTTGGTCCAAGTAACTTAGATAACCACTTCAACCTCGGGTGCTATGCCCTCTCTCCCTGAAACTTGGTTTGGGTCCTAGGAGCATGAGCTTTGTAGTTCAAACTTTATGGGAAGCCTTTCCTGGAAGACTAAGCTCTACTGATTTAAGATATTAAGAGTCGAGTATCTTTCAAGACTCTTGGACTTTCTTGTTTGACCCTTTTTTGGAAATTCTGTTGAATCTGCAACTTGATATTTGAACTTTAACAAACACTTCTGCTGTATTGTGATTGGTTAATCCAAGCAACTTGTCATGAATGTTTTAAAACAACATACACATTTTAATATGTTTATATTATGGGCTCAAAAACTGATTTTTAAAAGGAGGCTAACATCTCATTTTCTCCCATAGTTAATGGTTATTTTGCATTGTAGATTCTTTTCAGTCTAAAAGCTGTTAGAAATATTGGTGACTTTATTCTCTTAATTCAATTAAGCATTTTAATTATTAGAAAATGACTTTAAACTCTTACTACTCTGTTCATTTTTGTAGAATGCCATGATGATGTAGTTAAAATTGTGGAAATAGCCTGCAAGCATAATATTTGTATTATACCTTATGGCGGTAAGTAATCAAGCTATCAACATTTTTAAAAATGTTTTTTTAAGGCAGGCCCCAAAGCACAATAATATCTTAAGATATGTCAATTAGAATTATTTAGTTTTAATAGCAAATATCTTTTGGCATATGGTATTTTGTTTATAGAAATCCTTACATGCATCTCTTATTTAAATCCCATACAGATTTGGGACTGGGGACTGGCTGTTCTCCTCGTTCTTATCCCCACATTATCCTTTGCTCACATCATAATTTCATTCACAGTATTCTCTATTCTGTCAGTGGATATCATAAATTATAATCTAAGAAACTAATACTGAGGTAACATATGAAATTTAAATTGATCTGTTTCTCATATCTGTAGGAGGTACAAGCGTTACCGGTGCACTTGAGTGTCCTCCTGATGAAAAAAGAACAATTGTTTCACTAGACACTTCACAAATGGTATGTGTACAAAAGAGTTTCAAGTGATTTTCCCAAAATGTCATTCATATAATTAGTTCACTTAGTTTAAGGATCCCCTTAATTCACTGAGTATTTTTATCCTTCTGGAATTTATGTCATCACTTGTGGGTAGCTGTGTAAACATTTTAATCTGTTTTTCTCATGTTTCATTCCATTATTTCTCACAAGTTATTTGATAAGAATTAGCTTTTTAAATGCATCAATAACATGAGTTTGTAAAATATTTTCAGTAAGTGATTAGCAGTTTCCAGCAAAAGCCTTCACAATATTGGTCTTCAAAATCAGGACAATTTAAACAATGAGTATCAATCTTGCTAAATTTAAAATTTGAAATTTAAAATTATCAGATATTATAAATATTGATATAGATGTGATGAGAGAAAGTTCCCTCTGGAACCCTTCTTTAAGTTCTTAATGACATCTTCATCGCTTAATTTCAGTAGTTTCTAAAATAGCAAAAAGCCTTTATTTAATAACACGTGAAGAAACTGTTAAATATTCTGCTTACAAGGTCCACACAAGGGAACCAATTGATTGGATATTAGGAAGAAAATTGTGATTAAAAGACCACTTAAAAAATATGGCAGTACATTTTTTGTGAGACCAGATCTATAAGTTGAGACATCATTTCTAATTCATAGCAGTATGAAATATGGAATTAGGAGACAGCTTTATCACCTCATCTTACATACCATCAAATACATTGGATTTTGTAGAGCTTGTGGTTTGAAATACATTGGATTTTGTAGAGCTTGTGGTAAACTAACTGAATCTGTTTTATGGCCCCATCATCCACATTCTTTAATAATAATCAATGAAAATAAGGCTACAATTTAGATTTGAACTTTGTCAGTGATAATAAATATTAGAGTAAGCAATTAAATAGTTTTAGACCCAGTTTTATATTCCCAGGATCACTTTGTTGCTGTTTACTTGCATTAGAGATAATACCATTTCAGCATTAGTTCACTTAAAAAAAACTTTCAGGGTCCACAACTGATACAATAGTTAAAGACATAAAATTCAATCAAAAAATTGTGAACGTTTTGTCAGAACTCATTAATGTGCCGCCAAGATTGGTTTAAACCAGTTTTTTAAACTGATATGTGATTTCATGCATTACTGAATATTAGTTTGTCACATTTTTTTGGATGAAACCCAACATCATGGTAGTGGATTTACATTTACAAGCAGGATTTTCTCACCCTTTCTGAAGCTACAAGTATATTAAGATGCAGTCTAGACAGATTAGGAGAAGGTGAAGAAAACTAATTTTACCAATAGAGTTGGAATTCCATTCTTCTTTGTGAGAAATCTACTGGTAGGATTGTTCTCTTTCCCCATAACACCCTTGAGTTGGTAGAAAACAATATTAGCATGAAATGTCCCTGTCGCTGATGCCTCTTCTTCATCATTGCCTCTGTTTGAAGTCAGTGCTAGCTGTCTGGTTTCCCTCCCAGGTTATGAGTGACTAAGCATAAACAATTTTGCATACCTTGAAGCTGTTTTGGGATAGCTGTATGAATAAGTGGAAAATGTAACTTTAAGGCTGATCCTGCTAATTTCTGAAGACTTTTTCACTCATAGATTGTGACTAATATGAAGATCATGTTGTAAGAGCATGGGAAAAAATCTTCCATCAAGGAATCACTGGGTGAGGATTAAGCACTAGTGCAGGAACTATTTTAGAAACCTACATTCTGTAAAAGCAGGTTAGGTCTGACCCCAGTTCAAAGTCTAGTATTTGTTAATTTCACTTTCATAGACAGATATCAGACTATAAAATAAGACAAGGGAAAAACTTAACACCAAAGAGTTTAAAATTGGCATGAGCCTACTATTTTCTTATTGAAAATCATGTCTCGAACAAGACTGAACGTAAGGAATAAAATAATTTCTGCTACTATAAGTTTTTCAATTTTCTGAAAGCCTAGTCTTTGGTATATTGTCGCTTTTGTAATTATTTTGACATCTGCGGTTAATTGAAGTAAGATGAAATTTGATTTCAACCTCATCTCATTAATTTCTTAATTCTTAAAAGAATTTATGGATTCTGATTTCTGACTGATGTTTTGTCCTCATATGTGCAATTTCAGCAATGCAAATAGACAAGATACATTCATCTTCTTGTCTCTATTGATTTATAGTCTATATAGCTATGCAAAACTCTGCCTTTGGAGATGGAACATTCCATTCCTGGAATGGTGTTTTTTACACATAATTAATGCCTACTGCTGCACTAATCACTGATTTTAACTATGCTTTGTTCAATAATTAAATGCCAGTATTTTTCACAAGTCCTTTGGGTTTTTTGGTTGTTTTTTTTTGTAATAGAACAGGATTCACTGGATAGATGAGAAAAATTTAACTGCTCATGTTGATGCTGGCATTGTTGGCCAAGACTTGGAAAAACAGGTATGGTTAACCTACATCTTTGAGAATGCTGTTATTTTTATAGCACCATATTTACTGCCATATATTGGCTCATAAAGTAAATATATTTGTATGGTTATGCACGTTATACCTAGCCTAATGGCAGTTGCTATGTAATTAATTTTTCTGTTTATTTTAATCTTAGCAGGTATAATATGTATGTTAAAAATTGGCTTTTTTTGTCACTGATCAGAAAAAACATTGTCACCATCTTTGGGGACGTTTCTGTCAACTTCCAATTAGGTCCAGAATAAGCTATCATCTTGAAGAAAAATATGTAGTCAGATAATAAAACATGGGTGTTAACTAGAATAGCTTATTAAAAGAACAAAAGGCTCTTATTAAAATAAAATGTTTGACGCCTTTGTAGTAGTAATGAATTCTGCTTTAAATAACATGTACTTTGGGAATCTACATCCTAATTGTGAATTCATGGTACATTTAGTGGTATCTTTACCTAGACTCTCTTTAAAAAATATCAAAAGTGTGAAGGTTTTTTCTTTTAATTGGCATGAATTATGCATTGATAATTATGTGGATCCCTTGATTTAGAATTCTGATACCAAACAGCAGGTCTTTCCTATCTGCCAAAACAGAAAGCAGATGGCATGTCTCGTTGATCTTAATATGTAGATATATTCATACCAAGGTAGACAGTCCCTAATAATCAGGTCCAAGGATGTTTTGGGCTTTAAAGGTGAACACCAATGCCTTAAATTTTATCCCCCATCTTTAGAAAAAGATCCAATTATTTCAGTATACAAGCAATTCTCATTTAGCAACCACAATTAGCATTGGCAACTCAGTTGTTCAGCAAAGTGGTTGCTAAGTGAAACCATGACTGTCCTTATGATCTTGTTTCAGCTTTCCTTTGTTTAGAGAAGGAAAGCTTTCCTTTGATTATACCTCTAGAATTGCCTAGCTGCCCTATTTTGATCTTTTGGAGGGCTTTCAAATACTCTTCTAAGGTAATCCTGAGAAGACTACATTCCTGTGGCCTAACTAGGTTGCAATCAAGATATGAATAAGATACAGTTCAGGAAAAGCATAAAATTGCATTTCTTAACTGCCATCACTATCCATAGAGAGATGGAGTTAAGGATCCTTATCAGACTACGCATTTACTCTTCCAAGTGGAGTACAGCCATCAGAACAAGTTGAATGCATTTTGTTTCTTCTGACCGGCAGTACCATCACTTATTCAATATAATGTCATGTTCACCATCAACAAGCTATTATCAAATTTAGACAGAGTTTCTATGTACTCATTGTTTCAGCATCAGAAGCAAGGAGAAGTTGATAGTACTTCAGATATACTGCCCCAGAATTTTTTGAACATAATCCATCAGGAAAAAGTAGAATACAGGTACTCCTCAACTTATGGCCAGTAATACCATCATTAAGTGAATCTGGCTTTCCCCATTGACTGTTGGAAGCTGTCCAGGATGCTTACAAATAGTGATCACATGACCCCAGGAAAGTGCAACTGTCATATATATATACATACACACACACACACACACACACACATACATACACACACACACACACACACACCTGAACAAAACTGAATACAATACACACACACACACACACACACACACTGTGTTAAGTTTTCTCGGGTATTTATATGTATGGTATTCAGCTTTGTTTGAGTATTTTCCCACGTCATTATAGTTATGCTTTTAAAATTGTAGCAATGTTTCGGCAGAATCTCATCTGCCATCCTCAGGCTTCTGTATTGTGTTCATCTGTGAGTCAGACTTTCACAGCTGTTTCAGTTTTAAATTTGGTGCTAGCCTACTGCTGTGCCAGAATGGTTTTTTCTTCATCCTGATTGGTTGGGAGTCTTGGTCTGTGTTTATTGGTCTTGGAGTTTGCTGTGTTCTTCTTGATTGATGTTTCTAATATCTTCTGTCTGTTTTCTAGCTTTTTTTGTCTTGATTGGCTGGCAACATTGTGTTTCCTGTATTGGAGGCTTTTAGTGCGGCTTGATTCCGAGTAAACAGACAGCTATCATTTATTAGGAAGCTAAGTTTCATCTGGGTGCCTGGTTGGGGTGTGTTTGAGCTGGAGGTATCAGGGGGAGTCTGTAAGTTTCGACGTGGTTTCACTATTCACTCAAGTCCTGATAAAAGAAACTCTCGAAACCATCAGAAATAAATACCAACCACCCAAACAACTCATGGAACTAACAGAACACTGCTTAAACAACACATATTTCATATACAAAGGACAAAGATACAAGCAAATTGAAGGAGCCCCTATGGGATCACCACTGTCACACATCATTGCAAACCTGTTCATGGATGAATTCGAATCCAGAGCCCTAGCCAATGCCACCCACAAACCCAAACTATAGTTAAGATACATCGATGGCACATTTGTGATTTGGCCCCATGGAAAAGAAAACCTAAACAATTTCCTAACACACCTAAACAGCACACACCCCAAAATCAAATTCACCATGGAAACGAAAACAAACAAACAACTACCATTCCTAGATGTACTAATCTACAAAAAATAGATGGCACACTAGGACACACCATATACCAGAAGAAAACACACACCAACCGCTACCTCAACGCCCAATCCCACCATCACCCAGCACAAATAAACTCCGTGGCCAAAACACTAATTGCCAGAACCAAACGCCTGGCAGACAAGACACACATAAAGACTGAACTATGCACCCTGACTAAGTACTGACAGCTAATGGCTTTCACAAAAGCAAAATCACTGGCTTGATCCACAAACACACTGAGACATAATGGAGACCTAGAAGATGAACAGACCTATGGAACAGCTGTCCTGCCCTACATAAGAGGTACTACAGACAAAATCAGTAAGATACTACACAGGCATCACATCAAGACTGCCTTCAAAACAGACAGAAAAATAGCAGCCATCCTAAGAAACCCCAAAGATAAAATTGACCTGGAAAACCAAGGCATATATGAAGTCCCCTGTGCATCATGCCCTGCCACATACATTGGACAGACCAATTAAAGAATAAGTATCTGCCTAGATGAACACAAAAATGCAGTCAAAAAGCTGGAACACACTTCCTCACTAGTCCAACACATGAAAGCCACAGGTCATAGCATTGACTTCAATGGCACCAAAACCCTAGCCACCATAGAAAACCCCAGCTACAGAATTATCAGAGAAGCCATAGAAAGCATGAATGGAAGAGATGATTCCACCAGACTGTCAATTATCTGGAATCCTGCACTCTAAACAAAAAAATCTCCACACCACAAGCCAGGCAAACACCAGGGCACAAACAGACTCCCCCTGATACCTCCAGCTGAAACACACCCCAACCAGGCACACAGATGAAACTTAGCTTCCTAATAAATGATAGCCGTTTGTTTACTCGGAGCCAAGCCGCACTAAAAGCCTCCAATACAGGAAACACAATGTTGCCAGCCAATCAAGACAAAAAAAAGCTACAAAACAGGCAGAAGATGTTAGAAACACCAATCAAGCAGAACACAGCAAACTCCAAGACCAATAAACACAAACCAAGACTCCCAACCAATCAGCATGAAGAAAAAACCATTCTGGCACAGCAGTAGGCTAGCACCAAATTTAAAACAATGGCTGTGAAAGTCTGACTCACAATGCCTGATGATGGCAGATGAGATTCTGCCGAAACATCGCTACAACTTTAAAAGCACAGCTATGACGTGGGAAAATACCCGAACAAAGCTGACTATATATATATATATATATAATCATGTGACATGTGAAAAGGTGATCATATAAGCCCAAGCCAAGTGTCTCAATTTTGATCACATGATTTTGGGGATGCTGCAATAGTACTAAGTGTGAAAAACAGTCATAAGCCATTTTTCAGTGCTGTTGTAACTTTGAATGGGTGTAAGTCAAGGACTACCTGCATTATCTAAGTGAAGTAACTTTTAAAGCATTTACAAAACTGAACTTTGCAGTGGAAGTTAATACAACAGCTAAAAGTGATTAAAATAATGTTTGTTTTTTTAGCTTGGTGAAAGTGGTTATTGTACGGGTCACGAACCAGATTCAATGGAATTTAGTACTCTTGGAGGATGGGTAGCCACCCGAGCATCAGGCATGAAGAAAAATATTTATGGAAATATTGAAGATCTGGTAAACATTTTCTATAATTCATTATTTTTTCTATCAATAAATAATCTTAACTTCTGCATTTGTATTTTTCTTTTACTAACAAATATTAGCTAATATGCAGAACAATTTATTAAGATGTAGTTTAGTGGTTGACAGATATTGGATTTATTTGACACATGAAAAGAAAACAATGTATATACTCATCTGCGTTTTGTGGTTTGATAGGAAAAAAATTAAGATGGCACCATATTTTTTTTACTAGATCATATTCTTGAGAGTAATACAAAATCCTGTGGTGTCAGTTCTCTCCCTTATTTTTATCTACTATGGCAAAATAGGACGTAGATTCATTTTTCCTGGACATTTAATATACATACATATTTTATAGCATTAAGCAGACTTTATTTTATACAGGTGGTTCATATCAAAATGGTAACACCCAAAGGCGTAATCCAAAAAAGCTGTCAAGGACCACGCATGTCAACAGGACCTGACATTCATCATTTCATTTTAGGATCTGAAGGTATATTTTTTTAATTTTCAATACTTTAATGCTTTTCAGGTATTTTTATAACACAATATTTAATGAATACTTCTGATTTAAGAAAAAGGAATTTTACTAACTGTACAATCATGGATACTTGCAAGGTTTTTCAAAATATGGAGTGCAGCAATAGACTGTTACACCACAAGCTCTTCTTTTCTCTTTTTGTACAAGCATTCACATATAATAGGGAACAGGTCCAGTGTCACTATAAGGCAGTGTTGCTTTGGTCATTCTGCCCACAGAATGTCTCTTACTTCCTGAAAATGCCACTGTCTTCACCTGAGTCACACAATTCAACACAAAAATAGCATAGCTCTGTTTTGTGAGCCTAACAACTGATCTTTTATGAAGGAGCTAGGCACATTTCCTTGAGGTAGCATTCTGCTCAATAGTTTAACATAGATACCCGTAGCTACCAAGTTGCAGTTTAAATTGCAGGGCTCTGTTCTATATTTTGAATTTTAAGTGTGGGACATTTACCTTGGTGCATATTGGGGGTTGAAAAAACAATAACATAAGAGTGAGATACTGACATGTTGCAAGATACCAGCTTCCACTGCTTTTACTGAACTATCACATGAGCCCAAACAGTAATCTAAAGCAATTTAAGTGGTGGATGAATGCATTCATGTGCATCATTTGGGGGGGGGGACTTCTTGAATAGAGGTTAGAAGTAGATTGTTATGGGCTGTTGGCCACCGGCCTCTCCAGCAGCCAAATCAGAGGAGGAGGAGGCGTGAGAGTCAGGGTCAGCATCAGGGCAACCTGGGAGCTCTGAGGTGGGAGAGGGAATGGAGCTGGTAGAGAAAAAGATTGAGGTGGAGCCTGGGCCATCCGTCAGCCCTCATATGGAGAGTTAACAGCCCCCAGGTCTAGAGGTAGTTGATGAAGAAGAGGAGGAACAGCTGGGTCCAGTGCCTGACGTGTGGCTGTGCAAAAGGCAGAGAAGGGGAGAGCAGTGGAAAGCCATGGTATGTTCCTTGAGACTGAAGAGCCACTGCTTCTAGTGAAGCCCGGCCCTTGTTCTGGGGTTAAAAGGCAGGGGGCGGAGATGAATAGGTGTGGCAGACAACTATTCATCTTCTGGCTGGACAGACTTGTTAGCCTGCGAGAGAAACTTTTTGCCGGGGCTGCCAGCATTCCTAATAAATCTTTTCAGTTCACATCAGAGGGTTTGTCATGGTTGGGGAGGTGGGTCAGAACACCTGGTTCCTGGTTTTGCATTACTGTATCCTTGAACTAATGAAAACATTTTATACAAGGCTAGTCCTTCACCAACTCAGAAAATAGCTGATGAGCAAGAGTCTGTGATGTAGATTCCCTTAAGTTATTTGAGCAAGTCCTTCCAATCACTGGTAGTGATAGAAGATCACCAATAAGCATATTGTTTTAAAAAATTTAGTCTTATAATATGATAGTGAATAATTACTATAGATACTATTATATTTGGAAGGCTAATCCTCACAGTTTGAGAAATACTGCATTCCCTGTACATTATCATTTGGAATTTTAAGGATGGGAAACATTTAAAGAAATGAACTACACTATTGTGTGGTTTTCATTTTTAATGGCTTTAAATAATATGTGGAATAGGATTTTGGATATTGGTATGAAATCATAAAATTCTCTATATCTTTCAGCTGCAGTAGCAAAATGATTATTTTCCTCTTTTTATAAAGGAATCCTTGGAGTGATAACAGAAGTTACAATAAAAATTCGACCAGTCCCTGAATACCAAAAGTACGGCTCTGTAGTATTTCCAAACTTTGAGAAAGGGGTGGCCTGTTTAAGAGAAATAGCAAAGCAGGTAAAGTAATCTTGTCTTCAATTTGTATTTAATTGCACTTTTTAAAAAGCTGCAGTATCAAGTACTTTCACTAGATGGCATCCTTGTGCCCTACTCCACTTGCCTCTCAGGCTGAAGAATATGTTAAAACCTGCAGTTCAGTAACCTAATCATTTCCAACAGGGGGCTAGATAAAATGTTTAAAATTTTTACATTTTTGAGAACTGATCTCTTGATGCCATGAACAATAAATATAGAATTATTTCCTGTCAACATGGTTTGAATATTTAAACATTTTATTTCCTTTTGTATAAAAATAAACTCCAATTCTACCTTATCATTTAAAACAATGTTAAAGTGGAAGAGAGAGAGTGGAAATTAAGTCACTGAGTAAATTTTACCAAAATCAGGAGGTCTTTAATTAGTCCTGAGCATTTTAAATCAAATTTATATCAAATGAAACTATATTTCAGTGTGATGAAACCTAGATATAGTCTATTTGTATATAATACAAAAATGTTATTGTTCACATGTTTGGAGTAATGTTACTTAAAATATAAAATATCCTCTTATAGGAACAACAGATTATTATAGGGGCATCAGTTATTTTATTGGTTTTTTTTTTCAAATTATTAAACTTTCAGTGTTAAAAAGGATTTTCTTGTATAGCTGAACAACTGATTTTTCTTAAAAGAACAGGTAAGTATATATATTTTAGAAATCTTTTAATATATTTAATTATATTTGACTAGAAGACCCCCAAGGTCCCTTCAAACCCTTCAAAGATTTATTTAAATAAATCTAAGGAATAAAGATATAAGAAGGAAAAAGATAATCAGGCAAATTTTCAGAAGTAGAAAAGGCTTTCCATTTATTTCCATTACGTTAAAACCTGTATTTTTTTAAATAAAAGTCTAGTTAATATAATTTTGAAATAGAGACCTAATAAAAATGTTAAACTGGAAAAACGTCAAATTTCAAGCAGCATTCTTATTTTAAAATCTAATAGCGATACTTACTTTTTAAAATATTATAATCTATAATAGATCTCCCAGACATTGTAGATCTTTTATTTACTTTGTATTTTATTCATTTTTCCTATCTTTTATCTCTTTTCATTTATATTCCTTTCAGATGTTTAACTAGAAAAATAGTGCATGCCTTTTTTCTTTCCCCATTTCTAATTTTCCCATAATACCAGATTTTATGCTGTTTTGTCTCCCAAACAACAGGGATATTTTTTGGAGAAGACAGAATATGGTACATGGAACAGTCCATTGTACAAGCACACTTTTTTTTCCTATTTGTTTATATATTTTTGATACATGTTTTATCCTTTCTCCTCACTACACTTGAACATCTCTATATTTTTTAAATGCTCAAATCTTCCATTGTCCTTTATTGCTTTTATTCTTTATTTGCTCTGGTCACCTTTTGACTATTTTTAAAGTATCTGCTATGTACCTCTGATTTTACAGGTGTAAAATCTTTGGGTGAAATTTAACACCCAAGCACATTTTCTCTTCCCTGCTTTCAATTGCAATTCCAAGGCATCCTACCTAAAACCTGTTCAAGAGAAGTGAAACTCGAAAAATTAGAATATTGTGCAAAAGTTCATTTATTTCAATAATGTAACTTAAAAGGTGAAACTAATATATGAGATAGACTCATTACATGCAAAGCAAGATAGTTCAACCCGTGATGTGTCATAATTGAGATGATTATGGCTTACAGCTCATGAAATCCACAATCTCAGAAAATTAGAATATTGTGAAAAGGTTCAATATTCTAGGCTCAAAGTGTCCCACTCTAATCAGCTATTGAAGCCATAACACCTGCAAAGGATTCCTGAGCCTTTAAATGGTCTCTCAGTCTGGTTCAGCGGGAAGCACAATCATGGGAAAGACTGCTGAACTGACAGTTGTGCAGAAAACCATAATTGACACCCTCCATAAGGAGGGAAAGCCTCAAAAGGTAATTGCAAAAGAAGTTGGATGTTCCCAAAGTGCTGTATCAAAGCACATGAATAGAAAGTTATGTGGAAGGGAAAAGTGTGGGGAAAAAAGGTGCACAAGCAGCAGGGATGACGACAGCCTGGAGAGAATTGTCAGGAAAAGGCCATTCAAAAGTGTTGGGGACTTTCACAGGAGTGGACTGAGGCTGGAGTCAGTGCATCAAGAGCCACCACACACAGACAGATCCTGGGCATGGGCGTCAAATGTCGTATTGCTCTTGTCAAGCAGCTCCTGAACAACAAACAATGTCAGAAGCATCTTACCTGGGCTAAAGAAAAAGAGAACTGGTCTATTGTTCAGTGGTCCAAAGCCCTCTTTTCTGATGAAAGCAACTTTTGCATCTCATTTGGAAATCAAGGACCCAGAGTCTGGAGGAAGAATGGAGAGGCACACACTGCAAGATGCTTGAAGTCCAGTGTGAAGTTTCCACAGTCTGTGTTGATTTGGGGAGCCATGTCATCTGCTGGTGTTGGTCCACTGTGTTTCATTAAGTCCAGGGTCAACAAGAGATTTTGAAGCGCTTCATGCTTTCTTCCGCAGATGAGCTTTATGGGGATGCTGACTTCATTTTCCAGCAGGGCTTGGCACCTGCCCACACTGCCAGAAGCACCAAAACCTGGTTCAATGACCGTGGGATTACTGTGCTTGATTGGCCAGCAAACTCTCCTGACCTGTACCCCATAGAGAATCTATGGGGCATTGCCAAGAGAAAGATGAGAGACATGAGACCGAACAATGCAGAAGAGCTGAAGGTCGCTATTGAAGTATCCTGGTCTTCCATAACACCTCGGCAGTGCCACAGGATAACTTCCATGCCACACCACATTGAGGCAGTAATTGCTGCAAAAGGGGCCCAAGCCAAGTATTGAGTACATTTGCATGCTTATACTTTTCAGAGGTCCGATATTGTTCTAGTCACAATCCTTGTTTTATTGATTGCATATAATATTCTAATTTTCTGAGATTGTGGATTTGGGGTTTTCATGAGCTGTAAGCCATCATCATCACAATTATGAAAAATCACAGCTTGAACTATCTTGCTTTGCATGTAATTAGTCTATCTCATATATTAGTTTCACCTTTTAAGTTGCATTACTGAAATAAATGGACTTTTGCACAATATTCTAATTTTTCGAATTTCACCTGTAATTCTCCAGGGCAGATTTTACAGGGCAGATTGTGAAGGGAGAGCAAATTACACACAAATAATACATTTCATTGTTTGGCAAGGGAAAATTGATGGTTGAATTCAGACTTAAGCAACAATTTTTCTTTACCATCACATTTCTGAACTAGTTTTTGACCTGTTAAAATTAACTGGTATTTATGATATTTTAGAAAGTTGAGTGATACAGTGGCCTAGAGGTGAAGCGCTTACCTTACAATCAGGAGGCTGTGAGTTTGATCCTAGGTAGTGGCAGATATTTCTCTCTCTGGGCACAATGAGTAAATATCAGCTGCGAACTCTGCATTGACGACAGAAGGGCATTCGGCCCGTTGATGCAAGGGATTATAGGGTGATTAAAATACATACACACACACACACACACACACACACACACACACACACACACACTAAAAAATATTCTTCTCAACCATGTGTAATTAACTGTGGTTCCATACAGTATTAAAATTATTTTACGGTACTAAATGTCAGATATATTTGAATTATCTGCAATTTATTTAAAACGCCCAATATAGCAATATATTATGATTCAAATTTTAAAAACATTAATCTTGACTCCCTATGTTGAGGAATTATTGAATATCTTTTTACTGAATGATGAAAACCCTTTGCAGGTTCAGTGTTTAACAGTTGGTCAGACAACAGTACTTTTTCCCATGCTAGTTTTGTTTTTTCAGATGCATTGATATAATTTAATTTGTATTTTTCATCACTGTTCTTTATTCTTTTCCCCTAGCGATGTGCTCCTGCATCCATTCGCCTGATGGACAATACACAGTTTCAGTTTGGTAGGTTTTTAACTAAATTTTTAGGAATTGTTTTGGTAAAAGTACTAAGTACTCTGTACCCAGATCTTCCTTAAATTGTAAGTAGTGAATTGGAAGCAGCATCCTGAAATACACGGTCAATTCTTCCTGTACTTATTTTGTGTGCTGCAACTTTTTACTGTCTTATTCATCTGATAATAATTATCATAGCTCATTTCTGCAGTCAATATTCAAAGAACTATCCAGGTTATCCCAAAACACAATATGAAGCATGTGTTCTTGTAACTGCAGTAGCTAGTGATATCTACCACCTTGTTTTTATAAGTAACCTTTTTTTTGCTTTAAAAAAAAGTGTCAAAAATTGCATAAAATGCACTTAAGTTCTTAGATACATCCTAAATAGTTCTTGAGAACTTGGGTAAGCTTCCTTTGATGTTAACCTTGATAAATTGTAACCCAACATTGCACTCAGGAAACTAAGACATGACATGTAAGTTACTACTGTAAAGAGATAATAAGAGAATGACATTTGTTCCAGCAATTACTGTTTTCTCATCTGTTAATAACCAATAAGTGGTTTCATGAAATTCAAATGTTGCTAAAACATGCCAGGACTATAATATTGATTCGTTAGTTAGATTGAGCACGTTAAAATTTCTTGAACAGCTAATTGGGATAAGTAATTGATCATGCAACAAACTTTTTTAAAAAAATTAATGTGCAATCTCAACTTTAGTCACAAATCAACTTATAGGTTTTAGAAAAGAAAATAAGTACTATTCTACTTGGAGCAGATGTCCTATGAGAAACATAATATGCTGTTAGACAATCCTTTACTTTTAACATCAGTATTCTATTGGTAGGGGTGCAGTTGCAATATTATATGCAATAGGGCACTTGAAATATTCTTATCTCTCTTTGTATTTTGATGTATTTGGTGAGAACTGGTGAGGCCTATCTGGATTATGAAATTGGAAAAGTAAAAACAGGGTGATAGAAAAAATTCTCCCCTTCATTTCTCACCTCTCATGAGTAATGGCAAGGCAACAAACAAAAATTCCCCAAAGAGAAATCCCCAACTGTAGGAGCAGCAATAATGGTAAAAGTCGGTTCATTAAAAGCTTAAAGAAGTAATTGAACTTAGGTAAATATATATCCCTACAGTGAGTAAGCACAGATTATACTAAAATCTTTTACCTTATGCTCAGTGCTGTTTGTGATCCCCCCCCCCCTCCAAAAAGAGCCTTGAGAATGTGGAGGAGAATTAAGTTCCACATTCTTTGTGTGCTGGAGTCTTGATAAGGCTACCCGTACAATTATACCATGGAATATAAATCCAGGAAGTAGGCCAGGGTTATGTAGTGTATAATTAACATATCATAAAATGTGAGATCAAGAAGTAGAAGTTTATGCAAAAATGCTTTATTTCACTCTACATCTCAACATTTCCTGGGTTTGAAGTACATATGTATGCATCCAAATAATTAATGTATTGCATAAATTCCCATTATGCATATCTGAATTTTATTCATCTTCTGTTGTCTTACAATTTTTTTTCTCTTTCTTGGCAAGGTCATGCTCTTAAACCACAGGTTGCATCTATTTTTACATCACTACTAGATGGACTGAAAAAATTTTACATCACAAAGGTACCTAATTTTAATCTTGGCAATAAAAAAATACACGTTTTAAATAGTTTTGTATGTTTCGCATAAAGTAGTTTTAGTATGGATGGGTCTGGCAGTTTGATAGTGAACAGTGTCAAATGGTTTGCCAATGAGCAAAATCGCATGTGTTTTGCAATCTAAAATGTAGTTTATTTTGAACAGAAAAATGTTTTGAATATCTCATTCTGGTTTAAGTTACTCAAATTGTTTTGAGTATTCATTTTAAGTAAGGCAATATGGTTGGAACTTAACTTAGGATGTTATTTTGTTTAAAAAAATTGTCCTGCCTGGAGCAGACCAACAGGAGGGACCTGCTACTTTGACTTACGCTGCTTAGCGGGTTTTCTGGATGAAGTGGACAATAACAGCAGACATTTAAGGAGTGAGTGCATGGCACCCTGAGGGAGCCATTATGGACTAGCTGCCACTGGAGACTGATTGAAGTGTGAGCTATAGAGATAGAAAATATTACAAGGAACCATTGAACTCAGGACTGAACTGGTGCCTTTCTTGAAGTGGTTTGATTGGGGTCTAAATTATGATATCCACTATGAACCCAAGCATTAGTTGGGTTTGTTTGTTTTTAATACAGCATAATTTGGAATGTTTTTTAAATGATTTTTTTCCAGAATCTTTTCTAGTGAGAGATTATTGTGAGTGGTGCATAGAGTTCAGAAATATATTGTATGTTTGCATAGTAAAGTTTAGCAAAAAATAAAAAAGTACGACAGTGATAATACTGTCATATGCTATTGATATACAGCTATCTCAGCTCTTTAACATATTATTAAATCCAGACTATATAAAAACAAACTGCTCCATCTTCTCATTTCAAATATCAACAAAGAACACATCTCTTGAATCCATTCTTTAACGAAACCTTTAGTAGGATCAGAAACTATTCAGTAGAACTCCAGTAGACCATAATTTGTTCCATAACTTTGGCGATTTCTTCGTCTTCTAATGTTTCGTCTTCAGGAATTTCTGGATCAGGAGGTCATGTTTGATCACCACCCGAGTGTGTGTTCATGACCAGATTCAAAAATTTTGTGAATTTTTTGGTCGGAACCTGATTTGGTCGTGGTCAGAAGCGTTCGTAACCAAAGGTTCTACTGTATATTGGAAACATATCATTTATCAGTTTTTTTATAACATAAAAAAATAAAACATTCTTATTGTTTTTAAATTGTCTCTGGAGCCATTTACAGTATAGCATTATCATATTTCATTATTCCATTCCATTATTGGTATCATTCAAATATAGTATTAAATTTGGTTAAGGGCAATATATTGGTTAGCGGCAATATATTGTCTTTCACTGTGAAAAAATAACTCTGTGCATTAAGAACAATTTTATAACCTGTAAAAACACATTATTAACCTTGTAGATAATCCAATAATAAGCATACCATAGCTCCCTTCCCCCAAGCATTTGGATCTGAATTTAGCATCCTCTTTACCACCCAAAATGGGAGAAGGAAGTAAGTTATAACATGAGGCAGTGATTGATCCCTCTTGTTCTGCATTTCCATGCTTATAGAAATGAAACATCAGCATCTGCTGTCCCTCTGTTATTTTCTCCAGCTACCAGGCCTCTTGTTATTTCTGGATTTTACTTTGAAGAAATATGATATTTGTTGATATTTGTTGGTATTGTATTTCAGTCTAATTGGGCCTGAAAAACTTCAAAAACTGAACTCTCAACTCCATTCTCTTTAAAAAAAAGTCATGTCATGCTTCTTACTTTTGAAATTGATCTTATCAAAAGTAATATGAAAATGAACTTATTGACAATAATAACGGAGATCTTGCTGTGCATGTTACAATAATATAATGCAGGTGCTTTCTTTCCACAGTTCAAAGGATTTGATCCCAATGTATTATGTGTTGCTACGTTGTTATTTGAGGGTGACAGAGAGAAAGTCCTTCAGCACGAAAAGCAAGTTTATGATATTGCTGCAAAATTTGGGTATGATTTTTTAAAGTTTTATTACTGCTACTTTTCATTTATTATCCTAAAATCTTTGCAGAGTTAAGTAGAACTGGATGGACCCTTGGGTGTCATGCATTTTTCAATTATAGAAAGTGAAAAAGTGAGAACAAACTAACGTTGCTGTGAGTCTCTTTTTAGCTGAACTTCCACATATCAATAATTACGTTTTTATAATAAATATTGCAAATATTATTGCTAAGTATTTTGCCTAAGCATGAATTTTGGCAAAGTTGTAACTATTACAGCAAAATGTAAATATTTGTCTCATTCAGTTGAAGTCATGTCTATTTATAATAGTTTTCTTTTTCTAATTTTTAAAAGCAACGTCTGATACTAAATGAGTCAATACAGGGAAGGAGAGTAATGTTTAGAGATTAAGGTATAATAATGTCCATTATTGACTTACAGCTGGAATGAACAAGTCTGTTTTAAAAAGGAAATTGTCTGTCTTTAATCAACAGAACTTGATTAATTATCTATATCCCACCTCCTGTCACCTATTGCTCTGTGCTGTTGCAAGGAAACAGAAAACATTTCACTTTTATAAGCTGAGTAATGGAAGGGTAATTTGTGTCCAACTGGTTTGATTGATTATGGGTCTGATAATGAAACTATGGTGAAGATATTTATTCAGATTACAACAACTTTATTTTCTATTTAAGAAAAAAAAATAACAGCATTGCTTACTGCTAAACAGATTTTTTGTTAACTTCAGTGGTTTTACAGGTTTTGCTAACAGCATTCTACTTTTCAATGTTATTCTATAAAACATCCCCAAACATCCCCAGACATTCAGATTCAAAGAAGTACGGTGCCTTTTGAAGTATAGATATCTATACATACATATTAATAATTTCATAATCAATTTGCATATTAAAACATGGGCTGTCCTACCAATTTCTTGCTCCATATCCTATCTGTACATCTCTGGTCAACTGTGCTTTGCTTTTGACCCGAAAGCTACAAAATGAATAATAAGATAGAGCTTCTATTAGTTGTTCTAGCTACTGATTCTGTACAGAAGCCCCGTATTGGTTTTTCTTGTACACTGTTCTTTGCACACTGTGTTCTTTGTCACAATGCCAGAGAAAAAGGGAGAAAATGCAGCCAGCTATTGAAAGACGTTGTTATACTTCCCACCAGGCAGCTGTTACTCATGTCTGGCTATCACTTTATCAAGCTGTAAACCCAGTTGGCTTTCAGGTTCTTGCTCCTTTGAAGACCCAGTAACAGCAGAAAGACGATAGCTCCGTGACATCAACCATCCCCGAGCCTGTTTAAACTGCCTTTCTTGCTGCATATAATCAAACATGTCGCTAGCAACCTACTCCCCTGACTCTTCCGTAGAACAGTGCTCATTAGCACCAACAAGTGGAGTCGAAGCAGCGGCCTTTTTAAAAACAAAACTTTCCTACTCTGAGGAATTTGACTAATGAGCATAAACTTAATGCAGTTAATTGACAGAATGCGGCAACGGGGCATTTGCGAGTACCAAAATATCCACGAGAGGAATCCCTCTAGATAAATATTTTATTTTCCCAAATCTTACCATACCTGAGAATGAGCTTGTCTATATGTTGACATCCAATATCATCATTTGAGGGCTAGAAAAGTCTGCTTTATTGTGTAATATATCCTGCCTTTCCACTCCATGCGTTAAGGTACCTGTGGGAAAAGGGGAGTTGACATATGTTATCCTTGCAAAGAAACCCTTTTGAGTATTCAGAGGGAGAGAGACTGGTTGGCAGAAAGGGACAGGTCCAAAATCTCTGGGGTGTGGTACAGACAAGAATTTGGGTTTCCTGGTCCAACTTCACCACTATACTGTGTTGGTAATCTTTTAAAATGATTTTTCTCTAAATCCTGCATAATATTTTTGCCAAATAGCAAAAGCTTTTGTCCTTTATCTTCTCAGTATTGTGTGGAAGTATCTGAACAGTGCAAAACTTCAGAGGGTTCCCATATCAACATATTGTAACGATGGACTTGGTGTCACTTGAAAATCTTATGTGCATATATGCACATGCGTATATCATTTCTTATGTCAATTATTATATCTAGAACTAAACTTAATCTATATAAATTCTTGCAACCAGGGGTAGGTTGCTACCAGTTCTGCCCGGTTCTATAGAGCCGGTAGCTCTGAAGAGCAGCAGACACCGAATCGGTAGTAACGCCAGTTGAATCTCACCCCTGCTTGCAACGAAAGTACAGGTAGTTCTGACTTACAACCATTCCTTTGGTGACCGTTCGAAGTGACAACGGCACTGAAAAAAAGTGACTTATGATCAGTTTTCACACTTATGATCGTTGCAACATTCCCATGGTCACATGATCAAAATTCAGGTGCTTGACAACTGGCTTGTATTTATGATGGTTCCAGTGTACCATTGTGATCACCATTCATAAGCTTCCCAACCAGTTTCCAACAAGCCAAAGTCGGGGGGGGGGGGGGCTGGATTTACTAAACAACCATGTGATTCACTTAACAGTTGCAGTGTTTCACTTAACAACTCTGGCAAAAAAGTGATAAAATGGGGCAAAACTCATTTAATAACTTCCTTGCTTAGCAACAGAAATTTTGGACTCAATTTGTGATCATAACTGGAGGACTACCTGTACTAGTATTATATCCTCAGAATGGCTAGTGTTGACATTTTAGAGCTAGAAAGTATAACATTTTAATATTATCAAATTGTAGCGGTCTTGCAGCTGGAGAAGACAATGGACAGAGAGGCTATATGATGACATTTGTCATTGCCTACCTTAGGGTAAGTTTATTCTACTTTTTGAACAATATATAAATACATAATTTTCCACCCTGCTTAACTTTGGCAAGTTATTGTAATAAAGCAAGAAAAAAATCCTGAACTGATTCCGTTCAGAAACATACCCATATTTCAGGGCTCCAGAACTCCTGGAAATACATATGAACATATGCTATTAAAATGTCCCTTGTACACCAAATAGTGATTGAAAGTTGCTAACAACTTTAATTGCCATTGTGACCAAGAGGTCATTACCCTTCTTTTGAGGAGGCCACTTTTCAGAAACCTCTAAAAAGTTGATTTTTTTAAATTAATAAGAGCAATAATCTGAAGCCATCTGGTCCCTCTTCATGGTATTATTAGCTATTAATTTTATCAGGACTTTCTTGCAATTTTAATCCTTTTACTATATTTATTGTATGATTTTTTTTCTCTCGTGTTTGGTTTTAGATAGTAAATATATAGTGTTTGAACTTTTGAGGTACAATACTCATGGAAATTGAATTGTTTTGCTTCTTTTTTTGTCTTTGTACTTTATAAAATTATAGCTTTACAATGTTGCTTATAAGGTATACATTGAGTCCCTGATATATGTTACACACAGATTTGATAGAACAGGAAATTGAAACTAAGTTTCAGATACATTTTCTATACTCCTTGATTGAGCCTAGTCATTTAATTAGATAAATGCAGGTCTGTTGCCTCGATAATACCTTAATCATTTTCAGTTGCATATTCCTACATAGTAAATATATGAGTCTAAGATGGAATACTAATCCAAGGCTTTTCTGTTTTCTTAAATAGGACCTTGGCATGGATTATTATACGATAGGAGAATCATTTGAAACATCCGTTCCTTGGGATAGGTAAAATCAAAACATTCTCTATTCAGTGAAAATAAGTATTTTTATGTTTTTTTGCTGGAAAATTTATTAGAAAGTGGTGGTTTTAGGTTTTAATGATCTAAGTATTTTGTAGAATATAAAGATTGTTTCTGAAATAGTAGAAAAAACTATATTATTTGATAGTAAAACTTATTTCATTATTCCATGTGAAACATTTCAGTAATAATACATCAAGGATTCTTGCTGAAGTAAGGAAACCTATACATTTGGCTCCTAACTTCCCCATCCTCCAATAGAAGAACATCTTCTGCCCTCAAGCACTTTTTGAGCCAATAGAAGATCCTGTTGTTGTTTTTTTAAAGGACAATCATCATCTCTCTGGTGATGCCCTAATGAGCATAAGCAAAGTTAAATACAAATTTAATTTAAGTATAAATTATAAAAATATAATATGGTTCCCCAAATCTTATAATTAGAATTGTTTAATTAAATGGCTGTATTGATACCATCTTCTAAAAACCACCTAAATGTAGTCCTGTAATTGATCTTGTGATTCTGAGAGACTATTACGTTGGAAATGCTCAATTTCACATTTCTAATATTTGTTATGACTTTGTCATTTTCCAGACAAATTCTAATTTGCACGTGATTTCCATAATTTCCAAGATATTATCAATTAAGGGTTTAAGTTATAGGAAACTGCTCTAGAACTATTCAGACCTTTTTGATCTTGTGGCTTTCAAGTACCAAGTATATTTTCATTATTTATATTTGGTTTTTACAATTAATGTAATCAAATTTGTAACCTTTACTTGGTCATCTGGTTCTCCTTATCACATTCAGAGGAATCTGGAGAGCCAAAATAATTGCCCTTGGTGGAAAAAGTCCTGATAAAGAGAACTATCCATCTACGTCTTAAATTTAGGGAGCTTTAATCAAGATAAAAATTGTAACATATTTAAATATAATCCCAGTTTCTATTAGTTGTTTAATGATTATTTTGTGGCAATATGTACATTTAAGAACCAAGCAGAAATGTACAGGCACATTTTACTTTTAATGATTCAGAATTAATGATTAATTCTGAATTAATGATTCAAAATTAATCCTTGTATAAATCCATCACAAAGTGTTACTGATTAATACGTTAAAAATTTTTGATTTTTTTTTAACTTTTATACTATTTTACCTTTAGGGTTCTTGATCTGTGCAAAAATGTAAAGGAAAGAATAACAAGAGAATGCAAAGAAAAAGGTGTTCAGTTTCCACCATTTGCTACCTGTCGGTAAAGCATCTTTATATAAATTAAGTTCCAAAATGGGTTGGGTGCCCTATAAGTGATATGTAGACTTATAGTATGATCTTTATCGCCCCCAGAATCCTTTTAAAATCATGTCATTATAATTTTGCACCAAAGCCCTAATGCTATGTCGCCTTATTTATTTGGTGACCAGTTTTTGTAAAATAGCTTCAGATGCCCACTTTGCATCAGGTAAATCTCCTAATTGCTACCAAGAAAGTTAAATTACAACAAGCCCTTATCTTGTTTAGAATCACCACAGTTGTCATACAAAATTTAATGTGCACTTAATCTAAATCATCACTCGTCGAAGCAAGTCAGGTTTCTAAGTTATAGTTTGACCTTTGCTTTTCTCTGTTGATCGGATTGAAATTTCAATCATAGTTCAGCTTCAGCAGTATTGTTATCCCTATAATGCAGTGTTTTCTAACCTTAGCCATTTTGAGATGTGTGGACTTTCCAGAATATACCAATGCTGGCTGCAGTACGTTGCTATTTTGGGGCTTTGGGCTATAAATAAAACTTAATAAACCAAACTTAAGAGAGATGGGAGTACTTGAGTTTAACTCTTGTTCTGGTTCACACATTATATTACAATTTTGCTATTCCTGAAGAAGACATTCTGCTGGTTGTTTTCTCCTTGTATATAGCTTTGGCTCTCCCTTTTTACTCTCCCGTAGTAAAATGTTGCATTGGGAATGTAAAGTCCCGCAGCTAGAAATTATGGGAATATTGGTTCAAATACATCCCAGTGTTGCCACATTGTTTATTTGTAAACTGGATTCTTTGTGCAAGAATACAAAGTTTTTGATCTGATTCCCCTCCCCCTTTTCAAATAAAACAGGGTAACACAGATGTATGATTCCGGTGCATGTGTCTACTTCTATTTGGGCTTTAACTACAGAGGAATTAGTGACCCTATTCGGGTTTATGAAGAAATAGAGGTAATTCTACATATTTAATAACGTAAATGTTGTAGATAAAGTGTATGCTTAATGTTACCTAAACCAAAGTTAAACATGAAACTGGCTGATAGCTTTAAGGAGATGTTTATTTTTTTATGACCTTGTTGGTCATCTGTTTCATTGACCCTAAATTTCCTGGTGGTTCTCCCATCTAAGTTCTTATCAAGTTGAACTCTCCTAAGTTTTCCCCCCCAAGTTCTAACCTCATTTCTCTTTTTTGCTGGTCTCTATTTCCTCCATCACCCAATTGCAACCACAATTTTTGGTTGCGACACTTTTCTGTTTGTTTTGCTTTTAAAAAACAGTCTAGGATATTTGCAGAACTCTAACATTAAAGTTTTGCCTATTAACAGAATTGGATGGAATAAGTGAGGATAGTCTAGATACAAATTGCAACTAAAATTATGTTTACATAGAACTTCAGAATGAAAATGCTTTGAAAGGAGTGGTTTTCATTTTTATCAGGGACTTTTAAAAACATTTTGGAAACATGTCTCTCAAAAGGTAAATTGCAACTAAACTACTGTCCTTATTTAAGTGTAAATAATGTAACACCCCCTTTCTTGAAATTATATATTTGCTGGTGACTAAATGAAACATACTATCTTGCCTGCTTCAACAACTGGATAATTTAAATTACTGTATTCCTTTTAGACAGCAGCTAGAGATGAAATCCTTGCTAATGGAGGAAGCTTGTCACATCATCATGGAGGTATTGTTACAGATCATAGTTTTTTAGATATTCACTTTATAGTAGGGATTTTTGATTCATATATATGTAAAAGGAGAAAAGATACTCCTGCAGATTATAGCCCAGTTAGACTGCTCAGCATCATTAGCAAATAATATACTTGTCATCTCTCCTGGAAGCTTATAGAGCGGCTGGAACATAACAGTTGAACTGGCCAGTTTTAGAATCTGTCAGGCATGCTCAGTTAATACACAGAGAGACTTAAGAGAACTGTACAGTTATCTGTCAGTGTATAAAATGCTTTGTATTTGATACTCCTGTGGAAGGAATTAGAGCAGCGGTTTGCAACCTTTCCAGCTTGGCAGACCAGCGGAAGCGGGGGGGGGGGGTAGAGGGAGGGTTTTATGCGTCCCTCTTTCACAAATGCAGCTGCACACATGCACACGTCACTTCCCTGGCCCAGTTTCAAACAGACTGCAGCGCAGCACTGGGCCGCAGACTGGGGTTGGGGACCCCTGAATTACAGGAATCTCCTGCAAATAGATACCTGTTTTTACTCACACATAATTTTACAATAACCTGTCAATAATAATGAAATATATAGAACAAGAGCCTAATCTGAGTGGAATCAGAAATTTTACAGGCTTCCTTGTTATTAATTTTTTTATGTGATCCTACAATTGAAATTTTTACTGATCCTCTTTTTCATCTTTGTATTTTATGTAAAATACTTTTGCTATGCTGTATTCCTATATATAGATGATTTTGTAATGTTTCCTATAATCCCAGTTGGTTTGAAAAAGTCTTAATGCATTCGGACTGCATGGTATTGTAATGCTTATTATAGCCAAATAGTTTCAGAATATATAGCCACAGCTATGTCCAAATTGGCTCCAATTGTCAAGATTGAAGTACTGTCAATCTGGAATATTTCCATCCACGTTGAAATAATATATTTTGAGTTTAAAATATTTTACACATATCTAGTATTAGGAATATTTACAGTATATGTTGTTTTAGCCACATATTGTTATATACCTTCAGAGCTGACAAGTTTCTTTTACAATAAGAAAACTTAGTATGGCAACTAATTGTATAAGAAATTTTGTCTCTTTTGAGAAATGTCCAACTAATACATGTCTTTTAACATAGGGATGGGAGGTGATTAGTAGGAGTAAGATTAAGATAAATATATCACAAGAGTTTAATATTTTTAGGTTACTTTATATATGTTCAGCCACCTACAGAACGTAGATTACATCCCCAAGCTTTTTTCTGTGATATATGTATAAAATGTTACATTTATGATTTCTGGCCAAATCACTGGTCACAGTTAATCAGTCTATAACAGATCCATGCCAATTCTCAATATTTTCAGCCATAATTCCATTATGTGCAGGTTCTGCTTGTCTTTTAAAAAGGAGAATGTTTTCTTTAGTCTCTAAAATGTTATCTTTTGAGTTAAACTACATTATAAAATTGGAAAAAGTGAACGGGCCAAAGATAATTGTGAGCTGTTTTATATTTTAATTAGTCTAGTCACTCTGATGTATTTTATTAAAAATATAAATCATACAGAATGCTTCCTATTACTGTTTAGAAGAATTCCTGTTTTTTAGATACTGTTAATCATTCTTATTACCACTTAACCTGTTTACCTACCTACTTGCCTATCTCCAACTACAATTCAGAAATCTCGGTGGCTATCTTATACTATGATAATGGAGAATCTTTTACAAAGCGCTTATTATATTTACCCAATAGGAAGACTAATTTTTCATTGGAGGTGGTCATCTTATATTTGCTGACAGTAGGTATCATTATTGTAAAACTGAGCAGGAGTTTCTAATAATTAAAACAAGTGGGAGCAGATATTGAGTTGAAAGCTTGAATACTCTTGAAAATTAGACTAGCCAGCACAGCTGGGGAAAGATGGGGGAAGTCACAATTATTTTTAATATCCATCAACTGCTATGGAGGTTCTTCATTGAAGAGCAAGAGGAGAAACAAACAGCTCAGTGCCTAAAGAATTGCTTCGCAATTTTAGTCTCAACTTTTATGGAGCTGACTGGTCTAAACAGATGAATTCCTGGCATAGCAAGAGTTTATGTATATTGATCTCGGAGTTAAAGCTACTGAATTCAGTGAGGCTGATTATAAATTAATGTATCAGTTTTATTCATGCTAAGTTCAGATTTCTAAATTTTCTTTCTTTGTTTATGTCTTTGCAAAAAGGAATTGTGCATGTGTACAGATGAAAAAGTAATTTATTTTACAAATGCAGAACTTTGTTTCACAAATTGTTTTTTATTTTTCTCTCTCCTGACCTGAACATTTTTTAAAAATAAGTCTTATGATAAATGCATATAAACACATGCAGATATATAAAAGGCTTCCATGTGCACATTTTGGGGGGAAAGAAATAAGTCAGGATTGGTTTACATGGAAATTAGCAACCCTGATTGACAAAGAATGAAAGCTGGGACTAGAGGAATTTTATGTATGTACCCTTTTTTATTTCTCATTGTTTTGGTAGCCTTATCTTAAATTCAGAATCATGAGAGAGAAACCTTGCCAAGCATAGTTATTCCAGAAAACGGTTAATTTATCTTGTAAATAGTTCTTATTTAGAGGATAGAAAAAAAAAGTAGAAGTAGCTGGTGGGAGAATGATCATATAATGCTGAAATTCTTGATTGTAAGGAAAAGCAAGACTTAGAATTTATGTCAGGCCTGTCAAACAGGCTGCCTGGCCTGCATAGGCCAAGCCCATCCCACCTCCGCAAAAGCAAAAACCATCCTGATACGGCCCGTGATGCGATTGGGTTTGAGTTCCCTGATTTATGTAGTCACTAAGTGTTGAAGAAAACTATTCTAGTGAGAAGAAAAATGGAAGACAATGAGGAGGCCATTTTGGCTATACAAAAGGTTGGTGAAAATCTATAAAAAAAAAACCGGAAAAAGGGTCAGATAAAAAAAGAAAACATTGAAAGAACTGTACTGCTTCTGTCAGGGAAGTGTAAGGTTAAACTGAGATGACTTAGTAAAGGATACTAAGAATAACAAATGGGCTTAAAGTATTTTCAGTAGAAAAAGAAAAGAAAGAATCTAATTAGTATTTGTTCACTAAAAAAGCAAAATACCAACAGATAACAAAGAAAAGACAGAGCATCTCAACTTAAATTTTGCTTCAGTTAGTCCATCAACACAAAAAGAAGGAAAAAGTAGGAAATTAAGAAGGGGGCATGATTAAAGATTGAAATTTCTAAAACAAAATGTGCATACTTCAAATGACCAAATTACCAATTAGGAAGCGTTATTTATAAGCCATTCTTTTTCCAAGTGTTTTATTCACAAATGTTACAGGCAGAATTATCAGCAACTGATACTGCTTTTAATCCAACATGGTCCAACCATTTCTATTCTCCCTTCAACTGCTTGAGTCAAATATTGCTCTTGCACTGTTATTGACATTAGAACGTTCTCTTTTTTGCTTACTGTTACACAACAGTTTTCATAGATATTGCACTTGAAACAATATTAGTTGGATTCATCCTCTCAATGTTCAGAAATGAGATATTCAACCATATTGTTTTGAAAAAAGGGTATCTTTTTGAAACTGATTAATCACGTGGTCCAGCAACTTCCACCCTAATTAAAGATTCAGATTTTAATTATTCCAGTTCTAATTCTTCCATCCTGTGGGTTATACTAATATTTGAATCTCTTTTACAGTATATTTTATAGCTCATAATTTCTGTACTAATAATTCATGCCGTATTTAATGGATTTAGAAATTTAACAGCCTGCTGTGGCTGGAACTCATTTTTCAGATGGATTTCTATTTTCTCTGAAATCCAGAAGACTTACCATTTCTTTCATAACAATATATCTGACAGAAGTGTTTTATTCTTGTTGGCAATTTCTCAGCATTTTCCCCCTTCTATGTCACGGATCAAAGATATCAAAGATAACTCCTTAATCCCAGCATGCCCCCCCCCCCCCGCAAGTTGCTTGGCCTATTTCTTTCTAGTGCTTTTTCTGTGATTCTGAGAGAATCTTTCAAACCACTTGTACCTGTTCCCATAAACTGCGAATCCAAAAATCTGTATTTCTAATGGCTGCCTGTGGATGATAAGCTTTGAGCCCATGTCTTCCAATAGATAGAAATACAATTATCATCTGCCCAAGTATATCAATAATTAACTGATCTGATTTCTTGTCCAAGCTATTGTTGCTCCTGACAGTATTTCATCATTTACTTAATGGATGTAAAACCCCTGTCTTCAGCCTGGATTACAATGATACATTTTCAAGACTAGCAGCTCTTTGTTATAATGGCCAAATGAATGTTGTTTCCTGAATGCATATTTTAAAATTGTGTCTTCAGTCCACATATGTTGTTTTTCTATATCATTTTGCTCTCAAAGGGAATAATTGCTTAGGAGATCTCTGTGTTCCAAATCCCATCATGGAACATTTTACCAGGCATGCTGCTATATCTCTCGGAGGCATCTATTCTGTGGATAGACACCTGGATCTGGGCTGTACGTGATATCCATGCAAAGGGCAATGCATGGTTTTGTCATGCATTTCCTAATACTGCTCATCCAGGCAAAATATACCTTAAGTTTGTACGATGACAAAGGAGATAGATTGTCTCTTACTGCACACTGAATTTCTTGTGGTGGTTGCTGTTTCCTTTTGTTTTGCATATTCTGCTTTTCATTGCTTGGGAACTGAACAAGAAAAGCAGGAGGCATGGCCTGAACAGCTCCAACTTAAGAGCTTGGTTCTAGGATATTCCACTCATTCAGGTATAAAATAAATGTGGAAACATGGGTTCCCATCTAAAGATGAGCAATTAAAGATGAACAGATTGTCCCTATAAGGATATAAGTCAAGAATACTCAGAAGCAATGCTCTAAGTCTGCATATATGTAGCATTTCTGAGCAGGTATCTTACTATTTGTTAGACAGGATATTGGACATTTCACCATGAATTTAAAATGGGCAGAATGGAATGAGAAACGAGCTACTGGACCAATGATTTGTGGCGGCCATGTTGAATTTGGCATGTGGGAATGCCTGCATTGGCTTGGAAACATACATTAAGTGCCAGTCGGCAGAATCAAAGGAAGTGTCTGGAATTGATCTGGAGAACAATTGAGCAGAGTAGACAACCAGTCATCCTACAGATGATTTGGGCTTCCATTTCTCTTGGCCTGACCAGTTGAAAGAGATTATAGCATCAGATCTCCATCATACTAGCTTGCTGAGTTAAACTACATGAATTTGTTATTTAAGCAGGAAATTTCGCAGCTAACAGCGGCTATAGTATTTCTGTAACTTGTATTCTATTTATGTTTATTGCCTATTCTAAAACTAAGAATATAGTTGGAGACAAATTTAACAAAAGAATGTTGCATGCAATAGTTATGGAAGCTAAGCCTTAACATTTTGACCAAAGAATTGTGGCTTTGTCATATGTTAAGTCTGGGATTAATACATAGGTCCCTGGCAGAGCATACAAATAATCTTTCAATTTTGTATTTTTTGATTTTGTAAAAAGGCATTTCTGTAGTAGTTCTATCAAATACCATGTGTTGAATTCGCTGACTTTTAATACTTATTCTGAGCTGCAATTTATGATTTGGGAATTAAACTGGTAGTATCTTTGTTTATTATTATTTACTGACCTTCAGGCCTTACTGTGACATTCTTAGTGTTTCTTTTTGTTCCTGAATGTAGAAGGGAGAATATTGATGCAATTCCTCTTCAGAGTTTGCCCTATAATTGTGATTAATAACAGTTGCTTTCACTATCCTGAAACAGACAGCCTGGTTTGTCTGCCTACCACAATCATCTTGTGATAAATGGAGCTATTTTAACTCTGGTTTTGTGTATCAAAGAAAACAGATGTAGTCTAGGACTTGGGGCTATAAGGAATATAAAGCATGTTTAACTTAATCTTCATAGTATTTACTGCTTTTATAGAAAGAAGTAGACCATTTATACCAAAGACTGTTTACTCCTAACAGTCCTTTTTTTTTTTGAGGAGGGGGGATTGAAAAATAGTTTTGAAAAATTCAACTTGTGAGAAATATTTGCCCTTTGCAAATAACTTCTTCTCAGTATTTATTTTGTGTATAAATATATCATTTAATGTTAGGTAAGGATAATTTGAAACCAGAAAAAAGAAGCATTTCCATTCTGCAGGAAAGCATTTTATTTTGAACACAAAATTTGCTGAGAGATTAGAGGACATTTCCAACTTTTCTTGAATTCCCTTTCATTATGCTGGCCTCCCAATTGCCCATAGCATTAGAAATGCAAAGGTCATGAAAAGTGCAGATTTTGCATTGATGAGTCTATTCAGTATTGGTGAACTGGTCACTGTTGTCATTTGCTTGCATATGTGTGTCTGTGTATTATAGTTCAGTAACTCATGTTAGGGCTGTCCATGTCATTTAAATTTAACAATCCACTATAATATACAAAATGTGTTAAAATAATATCTTGAGGAGATACAGTAGCGTCTTAGATGAATAAGATAATCACTTGAAATAAAAATAAGCAATTAAAAGGCTTTCAAAACTGCTAGGTTCTTAAATATTTTGCAATATTCAAGATAGCTTAATCTTTCACATTTGTGTTTGTTTCTGTTGATTAAAAATGGTTTGATTGATTCATTTAGCAGTTATCAGCTAGGCAGTATTTTTATGTGTTTATTGAAGAAATGTTCATGAATATTCACTTGCAGTTTCAAGGTCTCAAGTAAATTGTTATTCAGCTATGTCACTGAAGCAAATCCACTACAGATATGAAGAGGCTGGCTGACTGGATGGGTAAAAAAGCAAGCATTTGTAGTAACTGAAAAATTAAATACTGCAGAATAAAATAATGCGCTTTTAACTCTTGCTAGACCTAAAAAGGTCTTAATTAAAATGAATTAGGTTAAATAAAAGCAGTAATTGTAAGCTTAAAGCATAATAAAGATTAAAGATTCACAATAAGTGTTACGTATGTATGCCTGTTACATATGTACATCAGTGATTGCAACTAACAAATAATTTGGATATTTAAAAACCAGTGTTATATTATACACTGTGGAAAAGAGGCAAAGTAGGTTGCACCTTTCACTGCAAGATACTCTGCCTCACAAATTTGTGTAGTCAGTTGGTGCATCTATTATTTTATCTGAGAAACGACTCTATATTTTCCAAGCAAAATAAAATTATCTTTTTTTAAACAACACCTTGCCTGGTTATACTTGCAAAAAAGCAACCGTGGGCCTCTAACACAGTGAAAATGGACATTCAGGGTTTGCAACTTTATGCTATAAATGGGTTAATTTCTTTACCAAATATGTTCATAAAAGACCACCGGTGTGCGCTGCACAGCTTTTTTACTTTCCGGTTCGCTAATCAAATGTATGTTAGATTTATTGTTGTAAAAGTATAAGGCATAGAAAATGTGACAAGATAGATGTGTAAATTATCATAGTGACAGAACTAATGATGCAGTCCAAGCACCTTCTGTTTTCCAGCACTCGGTGAGCAACTTCATTAAATATGCAGTGGCTGTTTGGTGGCTGCTCAGACATCAGTTCAGTCCCTGGTGGAGTCGCATTATTGTGGAGGTGGGGAAGAGACAGGCCTGCTTGCTGTAGGACATCCTGCTGTGGCTTTAATGTGCTCCAGCTTGTTGGACCAGTTGTTTTCAGGCTTTTTTTGGACATCTATATCCACAGGATACATTCACTTAAACAATATTACAGATAATGGAGTATAGTGGCTTAGCCTTAGACTATTCATTGTCTCTTTAGCTCTGGTTGGCACATCGGTGGCTGAGAACGCGCTCCTGGTCAGCCTGGCTTCCCTCCCTCCCTCCCCTCTTTCCAGAGAGCTTGGTGACAGGCTGATATTTGGCAGGGGAAAGAAACAACAATACTCTGTTCTCAGTTGATGTTCATATCATTCATTATCCCTGAGGCAATTTAACCAGCTACTTCAAGCATGGGACATCCTAGATTTAGTTTGGGGAGGGTGGGGGGAATCCAATGCAGCCAAGCCAAGAGGAATTAATTGGTTGAGACTTTTTTTCCCCTTCATACAAAAAAATCAAGCTTTTGGTTTAAATTCATGCTGTATTCAGCACCTGCTTCAATGCATTCAATCAAGGATTAAATGCTGTTATAATACTAGCTTAATGATAGAGCTGATTTCATTTAAAACCACTGTAGTTTTATGACTGTGTGCTGTAAACTGTCGTTAAGTTTATATTCATATTTATAATTTTCTAAGTTGGGGGAGGAAATCAGTTTGGGGTAGTAGTTAAAGGCCCACGGCCAGCTGGATGACTTGGGGCCATATGGCTTTAAGAAGAAAGCAAGGGCAAGCCACTTCCAAAAACGTTGTTGGAAAAAATTACAGGGACTTCTCCAGGCAGTCAGTAGCAGTCAAGAATAGTTTGAAGCCTCTCCCTCCCCCTCCCCAAAAAGTTATGTAAAGATAGTGACAGCTGGCAATGGTCTTGGATGCAAATGAAGTACTTAAATTTAGATTAAACAACACGTAATGTCTATTAACCTATATCATGTGGACTGTAGCAGTAGTATTTATCTTATTATTTTCTTTACTCCCCATTTTATTGGTATTAGTATTTTGCTTTGCATGTACAATAAAAGTGTCTGTACTGGAGACAAATTCCTTGTGTATCTATTCACATTTGGTCAAATAAAGTATTTCACTGGGTTCAGAGGAAGTTACTCCTAAATATAGATACAGATAGAACTACAGCCAAAATCTGTCACCCCACTTTTGAGAAATGTATGTTCTTGTTTGATAATCTGAGTGTTTTTCATAAAATAACTTTGTGTAGTTCATTCTAGCCTGTGCATTTTTTGTTTAAAACAGTGCACAGAATTCTCTACTTACGTGTAAATATATGCTGCTTCAGTTTAATTATATTTAATGCAAGACATCATCTTTGCCTAAACTTGATCTAAATTTCATACTTTGTAAAGAGAAAAGGCAGTCTCGAATCCAGGTTTCCTTTGGGAATACATTGAACTTAATGAGCTTGATAGTCTGGTGGGCTCAATAAATCAAATAAAGCAAAACATTTCTCATTTTTGAATAAAAGCATTTATCACCCAGTGTTTGTTCATTCATGGCCATAAGATTAATTGGTTCTTGCTATTATGGTGAATATTAAAGACACTTTTTTGTTGTTTTTTTTCTTCCAGTGGGCAAGTTACGAAAACATTGGCTGAAAGAATGTGTATCTGATGTTGGCTTTGGGATGCTGAAATCCATCAAACAATTTGTGGACCCCAATAACATATTTGGGAATGGAAACCTTTTATAACCTTGTTACTCTCCACGCTGAAGTACCGGAAAGAATAATGTTTGACTCTCATAGCTTTTCCCAGTATCCAAAAATAGCATGGAATTAGTTTCAAAAGCTTTTCCTTCCCTGCAAATTTTATTGCTTCTTTCAATTGCAGAGAGAAGACTGTTCACATGCAATCAGTTCAGAATATAGTTAGGTCCATTCAATTGATAACCTATTTGGATGGCTTTCCTGCTATAAGGTGCTGAAATGTTTGAGAGTGACCCTGATGTGGTTGGAGACTTTCTTGATAGAAAAGCACTTTGGGAAAGCAGATGAAAAATAGGAGTATATTTAACTGAAATACGATTTTCTATTGAACAGTTAAAGCAGATAGTAGCAATGCCAAGCTGCAATTGGGAAAGAAAAGGTTGATATTTGGATAGGAGACAAAACAGGCTTTCCTCTCTGATACTATTTAAAAAAATTAAATGTTTTTAAAACCTCTATCGACCTAACTGAGCCAGAAAGGTAAAACTTTCTTTCTCGATATTGGAATTCATTGTTACATAAAATGTCAAGCTTCATAATTGGTCTTCATTTATTTTAGAGGGCAACTTTTCCTAAGAATAAAAATAGTGCTATTAGTTCTAATTCTTCAATAGGAAAAAAAAATGAAACTTCAGCCTTTACAAATCGAAGCAATGTTTATGTTGTTTACCCACAAAAACAAAATACCAAGCTTCTAAAAGTATCCATGAGCATTTAAATTATATATATATAAATGTAATATTTCACAGGATAGTTAAAACAATGCAGTGGGTCTAGCCTTTTCTTCTGTCAATGATAGACTAGAATCTCCTGAGCACACATTCTTTTTGGCAGAAAAGTTGAGGGAAGGAATATTATTTTATGCTAATCCATGAGCCACTTCCTAGAGTTTATTCTCATTAAGCATACCTAAATCAAGCTGACTTTATTGGGATTAAACTGTTTACATGTTACACCCATCCCAACCCATTATTGTGAAATGAGATTTAATCAGTTTTGTTGTAAAGAAGCTTACATAAACAAAAGTCCTTGAAACATTTTTAGCTTTTATTCTGCTTTGATAACAAAATTGAAGTTTCATATACAAATTTAACTATGTAGCTAAACTCAGAAACATGAATGTTATCTGGTCCAAGACAAAAATCAACACATGTTCAAATCTTAAAGATTGCTATAGCAGATGGCTTAAACATATTTTTAAAATAGGCGTCTACACATTATGATACTGTAATACTGATGGTTCCTTACCATGCTTACAAAATAGACATTTCCTAAATTTAATCCACAGAAATAAAGTTTTATTCAGCAGAGATTGGCTATTTGGATCATTCCATCTAGTTGCCTGTTGGTCTCAGTAAAATTTTGCCAGCCAAAGAGAGAGGTGCTCAAATACTCCGTGACTCCATCTCGCTCAAGTCCCAATTCTTCAGAGTAGACTCTAATGAAGATGTAGGGGGCTATAGAGAAGGGAAGTACAAAACTGTTCATCAGCAGTTGTTAAGGATAACTTAATGTTAAGGATAACTTACCCTAACTCAGAAGTAAAAATTAATGCACATATGTAACTGTCTTTAAGTTGGATTCCAGTTGGATTCCACTTAAAGACAGTTACATATGTGCATTCATTTTTACTTCTGAGTTAGGGTAAGTTATCCTTAACGTTACTAGTTTAGTTTCTTACTCATACAGGGATACATGGAGGATTTGGATTTTGTTTTTGTAGAATACCAAATATAAACCAAATGTGTGTTACAGGCAATACAGTTGCCTTTTTGATAGAATTAAAGCAGAAGTTTAGTTTCCTGGTTGTCTTCTCTTGTGACCAAATTTATGGTATCCCCCAAATTTCTAGTCTTACTTTAGGTGCTCAATTGGTTTATTTTACTGGTAGGATTTTCATAATCCTCTTTCCTGAGGTTGCACAGAATTATATACTTTGCAGATATGTTCCATATCTTTCTAGATAAAAAGGAATGTTCAAATCATGAAGTATAATTTTGTGTCATGTGGGTACAGTCCTATCAAAGTAATTGTGAAGTCACAAAGTTGGACAGGCTTTTGGAAAAAGACACAATGCAGATAACTGTGAACAATGTAAATTGCTTTACTTATGCCTATTTTGCTAAACCTTTTTTAATTGTTAAATGGTTTGGAGTATTAGCAAGAGTTACTTGTAAAATATGCACTAGCTGAATGCTAATTTTGAAAAGTGATGTTCATTAAAAAATCAGAAATACACCAAATAAAGAAGCTGTTGTTTATCTTTTCATGGCATACCAACAGACTTGTGAAAGCTATACATCGTTTTGGGGCATGTTTATAAATTTTCTCCACTCTCATGAGAATCCAATATGCATAGAGCCAATATTATTTATTGATGAATTTGCAGTGCTTTTCACCAGACATCCAAATGTATACAACCATGCAGAAGCCAAAAGAGTAAGGAAAACTCAGAAACCTCTTCCCTCATGGAGCAAAATTGCTGGAGATGAAATAGAAGCATGTGTGGTGCCCATGCTTTGGGGGGCCTAGTCATAACATGAGTTGTTCCTAGCAGGTGCTCTTACAAAATAATGAAAATGTTTTAAACAAGATGCTTAATAAACTTTTTAGAATGTTGTGATAACTGCTCAGGACTGCACATAGAGAGAATGAGTGACCCTGGAAAAGTGCCTGGCTGCTTTCAGACTGGTTCTAGCCTGTTATGGGCTTTTTCCAGGGACTCTTGGTGAGGACTGTGGTAGGCTCTGTTGCAGGCTGCACAGCATGTCTCTGATAGGTTTCAAGGTAACTGAAGATATGGGGAAAAAAAGTCCATTTTGATACGCCATAAGCAATTTTTTGGAGATTCTGACAAAAGTACCCTTTAACAGGACCCAGTTTTACAGGATCAGCTTTATATTACTTTAAATGTTTTCAGTGCCACCCTATTAGAACAAGTTTTAAGTCACAATTGCCCACTGTTCTCAGTTTAATTGGCTTCTAATTCATAGCAAGTAAAGAGATGTAAAGAATTAGACAACTGCGTCCCACATAGATGAAGGACCTTGGATCAAACTGCGATTCCCCATAATATGAGGCAAATGGCCTTTCATAAATAGATTGTGAAGAACAAGTAGCAGGAATGGGCAAGAGGGAATCAACCTTTTGTGCCTGGAATATAATTGGTTAGATCTGATTTTCTCAAGATGTGCAGGAGAGGGCTTGAAATTCAACTCTAAAATGGAGTATTGGTGTTTAGATCTTTCAATGGCACATGTTTGTGCACCATTTCAGGAACTTATGCTGAATTTAAGAAGAATGGAGTTTTGTGATTTTCAGTTTAGAAAACTAAACGTGCCTATATTAGGGACTAAATTATTACATTAAACGTATCTCTGTATTTGCCTCATGGTGGTGTTTTTTATGTAGTAGTAGGGTGATTACTTTGGGTCTGGATCATTGTATAAATGGGAGAAGAGCAGGGTTGTGTTTTTCAGCCAACCTCCTTGATTCAGATTGAAGCTTCAAATGGGGTTCCAATAAAAATGGTTTAAAAGCACGTTGAAAGATACATTTAACATAACATTTTGGAGTTGCACATCAAATTAAAAAGTTAGTCCACTATATTACTAGCTAATGAAAGAATTGAATTTTCTGCTAATTATGTAAGACATGTTGATCACATTTTGGTAAGTTAATTGTAAAACTACTGTTGCAATGTTGACATTATAGTTATTTGTTAATAAAATGGTCCTAAATGCTCTCCATAAGTTGATTAAATTAATACATTTTCAGATGGCTTGTTTCTCTTTTATTGAAACATTTTAACTGAATGTCAAGCAGTGATTGAAGTTATTGGCATTTTAGGAGGATAGACTTTGAGACAAAAGATTAGTCTTTTAGAATATAAAAACTTAGTTTTAACTAAATTCTCAATTGTTTTCCAAATAACATTTTCTGAAGCCAGACATAATCAGTTGAGTTTACTGAATAAGCTAAGCATCAATGTGACCTGTCTCGTTCTGGTTTAGCCTATCATGTCAACCCAGAGACTAGTTTATAAATAACTATTTAGGGATTAGCATGCTATATGAGCCAAGCCACTTAGATTGTTCTGTAAACTATGGCAGAGCATGCTATTTGTATCCAGCCACAGCTGGATCAGGCCAGATATCTCCCATTTTCTGGAATATTTTGGTTTTGCTACAACTCTTTTACTATTTAAATGTTAAAGAGTAATGTCTGATCTATGTATGTTTTGCTGGGAGGCTTAAAAGTTCATGTGGAATTCTGTTGAGCAAAAACCTAGCAAAATCGTTCAGGCTGAGACTGGAACCTGGTTCAACTTATTTTTTGCCTGGTTCTTGTCCAACTCAGAATTGCCTTTCCCAAAATTTTATTGTGAAAGGAACTACAAGCAGTCTTTGTTTAGTGATTCCCTCCAACAACAACTGTTCACAGTTACGACAATGATGAAAAAAGCTACCAGTGCTTGCATTTATAACCTTCACAGCATCTCTCGCTCCCTCCCTCTCTCCCTTTTTCTCATGTTTGCTTTGCCTGATCCTTTTTTTTTCTTATTTTCCCGCTCAGAGCGGAATGATTGCCTAAACAAGTTATCCTTTACTGAACTGATTTCTCTGCAGTGCAGCGAGTTTCTAAAAAGTGCTAACAGCAAGTTAATAAACTCAGCTCTGCATTCGTTGATTAGAACCCTCCAGTATTCATACTGCTGACCCTGAATGTCTTATCAGTTTCATGCTCAAAGGTTTTGTTTGTCTCCTATGCAGCTGGCAACCTTGAGCATGTTAGGCAAACAGCTGGTGCCAACGCATTACTTTTGATGTATTCTCCATTACCTACTTTCTTGCAACCCTTTCTCCAATAAATATAACTGCAAAATTTAATTTCCTTCTTGCTAATTACCCCATTGGCAAGGTTAGCCTTCCCAAGCATGGCAAAAAAACAGTTGCAACTTTTTCCCTTTGGCCTGCTTCCTTCTGAGTCAAGTTCCAGAAGCTTCCTGCTGTTTTGTTTACTTAGCTGTTTGGGGTTATAGCCTGACCCCAATCTGAAGCAAAACTAAGCACAGTCAGTGGTCACATGATTTTCATTTAAGGGCCACCACTTAACAACCAAGTTGCCAGAACCCATTGTGGTCATTAAACAAGGACCACCTGTATCTAGCCTTCTGTTCTGATATGATTGAGGGTGGGGGCAGCATAATAAGGGAATGTTTATGAGTGTTGAAGAGTAGTGAGAACGGTTAAGCAGATCATTCTTTAGTCTTATGCAAAAGTGGCCTCTTTATTTATTGCTTTTTTAAAAACTGGAACTAAAAGACTCTTTTAAAGCTAGTGGTTTCAGTATAAGTAGGATTAATTGTTGCATCTATATGTTGATAGTATTATTTCTTTGTATTTGGTACAGTATTAACACTGCAAGAGGAAAAGTCAGTGGCTGGCATGGAAATACTTTGCCCTAGAGTTGCAACCTACATGTGCAAGACCATCATGTGACAAGATATTCCAAGGGATATTTAAGACTATCTGATATGATTCTTGGAATCCCTATTGTAGTGAAACAATCAAGTCCAGGAATATTTTTATCAGATGGATCGCTCTCAGCCTTAATCTGGGACACTGAAGTGACACAACAATCAAACTGAAATAATCTGGCATTGCTTATGAAAAAAAGCATTGAAAGAGCAATCTAAAGCCCATCTCCAGCTCCATCATAGTTCATCTAAATACTTCCCAGGGTTTTTCCTGTCTTGTTTGTTGCCTGGCCAGCAACAACAAGAGTGTTTTGGTTATGTGTGAGAGTTGTAGTTCACACATTTTAGACCAAATGAGCTATGGAGGCTGCTCTAATCTGAGTCATTAGGAACATGTTGGATTTGCTTGTACGTAAAGCTAGATGTGAATTTCCTAAATGCTTACCAAAACTTTAGGACTTTCGGTGTCCTGAAGAATTTGAGTAGAGATCAGAAACTTGGTGCCGCCATTCGGATATTCTGGCTTCAATTCCCATCAATCTTAGCTAACTTTGCCAGTAGGAAGGGATTGTGAAGGTTGTAGTTCAAAATATTTAAAGGACAACAGAGCTTCAGTGCTTTTTGTGCTGGTTCAACCCAAGAAGCACA